TTATTAATTTCACTGTTTAATAAAGTAAACTAAAAACAAGGTTAACAACTCAAACATGTGTACCCACTAAAATAATATTTATATTGATGAGAAAAGAAATAATATCAGATTAAAAATTCATATATATATATATATATATATATATATATATATATATATATATATATATATATTATGAAAATGGCCAAAGACAAACAATTATTTTAAGAACGTATAAACATAAAAAATGTATTAATATTAATATATATAATATTATAGTATTAATATTAATATATGGTATTAATATATATATATATATATATATATATATATATATATATATATATATATATATATATATATATATATATATATATATATATATATATATATATATATATATATATATATATATATATATATATTGTTATAAAGTTCCTATAGAGTTTATGGTTAGTGTTTAGTAAGACTGTAATGAAAAAGGCTGGAATCAAAAGATTGAGTGAAGAAGGGTTTAATGACATGAGAACATGGATTGAGAATACAGTAGTTCCGGGAGAAAAGCGTACGACTGGAAGGTGCTACGCCTTTACGACCCCACTTTTGCCACTATTCCATGAGTAGACATTCTACCCATAGCTGGATAGGCGAGTTCATGTTTCAGTAATAAGCCTAGAGGAGGTTAATCAGTCTTTCTACACAACTTTCTTTCTTAGTCTACTTGTGTTGTGGAGTGGTTTCACAGTGGAGGCTTGTATTTGTACTAAGTCGGTCCTAAAATAGGTTCGACGTTCAAAACGTTAGGAACTTGATATGATAGGTAATGACGCAGAGTAAATCTAGTTGTGGTGGCTGATACTTTAGTATCCGACTAACGGTCGTCCGGCATCCACTGACTGACCAACCCCTGAGCGACTCCTACTTATTATAGGTGGGAGAGTCTAATAACTATAGAATAGGTGTGTTCCACTATAACAACTTGGACACCGAAATTTAGTTGAATAACCTGCTTAAGTGTGAAGGTTTTGTCATGATTGGTAAAATTATATTGGGCCACTACTCTGGTCAAGTTTCTACAAAATAAATAAAGAAATTTAGTTTCAAGACATTTTAAAACAATTAATATATACCAGGTGTAACAGCAAAATTATCCAAATCTTATAACAACAAAATTGTTGAATTGTTATATTAAGCTCCAAACCGTTGTATCTTAGAAATGATTAAAGATATCTTACTGGAATTCTCCGAAGTTTTTGTAACACTATTGGACTCTACTTTGAGGAATAAGAATGTATAATTACTCTCCAAGCTTAACAGAATTAACGGGATGAAATCAATCATAAACGAAAATGACATATTCGTCATTAATTAATCAAAGCTAAGGATCGAAAGCTCATGAAATATTGAAATATGGTTCATATATATATATATATATTATCCCAGCATCATTTTTCAACTTATTCAAGATGATCTTCGTCCTCTCTAACCTTCTATCTTTCTGTCCTGGAGTAACAAGTTATCTTACAGGTTTCACGTATGATTTCATTTTCAAGTCTTTTTTCACTGCTTTTTGTACTGTCTAGGTGGAACTCCTTTCTCCCGTGCCAAAAGTCTTATGAATTGAGTTGGATCTTTTCTAATTGATCTCTTTAGCTCTAAGTTGAAATAATGATCCCTCTTTCTGTTGTAACTTCCTGATCCAGTTTTACTCTCTACTGTTTCCTATTTTTTAAACTTATTCACCGTTCTCTTGTTGGTTCTTGAATGGATTTTGAAGATGGAAGTCAGAGTATAAATTTTGGTACCATTACTGAAGGCTTGAATGATCTTTTACCTTTCACCATTGCTCAGTTTGTGAAGACAATGTGTCTGACACGAAACGATTTTAATCTGTTGTCTTTCTAGCTGAATATCTGAAAGGGCTTTTCAGTGATTCTTACGAAAAATGGCGTCAAGATGCCTACACGTTTTATCTGAACACCTGGAAAAAAAAGTGTTATAGTTCAAAGGTTAGGACCATGGAAGAACAACACGAAACTCAACAGTAGAAATAACAAAGAATATATTACACAAGAAATAATACAAAGAAGTGAAAGGGTTAGTAAGACTGTCCGACTGGTTTGGCGTGACTGCTATCAGCTCGATTCGATTCAATACCGTTCTAATACCGACCGTCTCGCTTGAGAGGCGTAGTATATATAGTGTTCGGAAGAGTTCATTCTGTCGGTCTAGGTAGGCACCATGACAAAAAGAAACTCAATTAGTTTAGTGATTTTTTTAGATGTTAAACATTTAGAGCAATGTTACACGATTTGGACAATTTTGTTGTTACACACGGTATATATTGGAAGTGAAGTGTCCCCGTATACAACGCGAGAAGTAGCCAATACCTTTTTGTTCAGCAGTCACATATCCCACATATGTTTTATGCAATTATACCCAGCACACCTTAGTTACAGTTTCTGGGAGAGAGCGCATCATCCGTCGTGATCAACAGTTTGAATAAGATCCGACATTTTGTCGCGATGGCACGTGACTTTCAGTTAGCACAATAATCGACGGGCTTCGAATAGTTCCTGGTTGCGCCAAATAAACCCTAGCATAACTTCTATTTCTCTAAGGATCGCCTCGCTGTATAGTTTGGCTACTGTAACCCAGTAGTACACAGTAGCAGTAACCGACTGGTACTCGTCGTACTCGCAGGTAATAAGTGTAGACCAATAGAATAGCCAATGGCGTAGTCAATGGGCGTCGTCACAGACTTACACTCTGTCGTACCTACACGACCATATATATATATATATATATATATATATATATATATATATATATATATATATATAAAAGAACAAATAGGAAATGTTTATCAATTTAACATGTTTCACTTTTTATTAAAGATTCATCTGAGATTGAGATATAAAGAAAAAACAAGAAGGAAATCTGTTATTTTTTACTTTTGTGCCGTTTCATTTTTCATCGGTCAGTCATGTTTCACTTGCATTCGACTTGCTAAACAAACGTTAGTATAATTTGTGGAATTCTGAATTCAAAGACGACGTGTTCATCCGAAGTCTCAAAGAAATTAACAGATTCAAAACCTATCTGAAAACCGTAAATATTCATATATATATATATATATATATATATATATATATATATATATATATATCGACTCTTCCGTCGAATTCGACGTTCGAGGGTCAAGCAGATCAGTTCCCAGGAAATCAACAGCTCGACAACAGCACATGAGATTTGATTATAGTGGTGAAGGTTTCGTACAAGACCATCCACACTTTTTAAAGGGCCGAATACAGAGACCTGGTGCACTACGTGCCACAAGGTCCCGAAACGACCCTCCGCAGGTTTTGAATTCAGAGTTGTTGTTCTCCTATACCAGTTGGCATCCAAGGCTATAGAACCCAGTCTGTCCTGCTATTTACCCATAGCTGGAGGGAGAAGAAGAGGATTCATACCTTTCCCAAGGGTATTAGCACGTAAGTGAATATAATGGATTCGACTGGAATTCGAACTCGGCTCTCCGATTCCTCAATCCATTACTCCACCGTGCCTCCTATATATATATATATATATATATATATGTGTGTGTGTGTGTGTGTAAAAATATATAAAAAATAGGAAAAAACTTGTAAGGTAAATAATACAAAGTTCTTATGTAGCGTTGGAATCATATTTTAAAATAAATAATTATATATTCATATAAATATATATATATATATAGTATTTACATTTGTCCTCATCTTTGTCGCCATATTTGTCACAACGTTTCGGCCGTTGTACGCTCCTGCCTTCTTCAGGTAGTTGGAATGTCGAACTGAACCCTTTATTTCGCTCACTGGGGTAGACTGTTCTAGTTCCACGTGCCATGTTTGATGGATGTCAGTTATCAGTTATCTCCTGCTAATTTTCCCTCTGAAAGTTCTCCACTGCCTTAACCGGGTATTGAACTCACATTCTTTGGATCTGTCATTGGATCTAACCAACGCCTTTATCCATTGTGCCATGTGTCCTTGAGGACAGATAAAGGCGTTGGTTAGATCCAAGTCTAGAATTAGCCGTTATTTTTATTTTTTTATTTTTTTGCATAGCCCCAAGAACGTCACTTGTTGCCCTTTCCTCCGCTAATACATCTGCACAAAGTAAACCTCTATCTTGAGTGGCCCCTGGGCCTCGTATTGGTTGAACATTAGTTGAAAATAAAGATAACGAATATATATATGAAATTTGTACATTTCTTTTCTTATGTATAAAAGAGTGTCCTCTTTTATTATTATTTTTTTTACTAATGTTCAGCTGGTACAAGGTCCAGGCACCATTAAATGTAGTGGGTTACAATATGGAGCTGTATTAGCAGAAGAAAATCAAGATAGCAGAAATGATAGCTAATTCTAGACTTGAAGAGGTCAAGATATAATCAACGAATAAAAGTTCAGAGTTCAGAAAACTGAAGGGACGGAAACTCAGTCCCATATATATATATATATATATATATATATATATATATATATATATATATATATATATATATATCGATATATATATATAAAAAAAATTTAACATTTTTTATTATTATTAGTTACCCATTAAAATACTGTTTCAGGACATGCGATTACCAAAATGGACTTTTCGGCAGTCTCTTTCTCTCTCTCTTTCTCCCTCCCTCTTTCTTTCTCTCCCTCTACTCCTTCTCCCTCTCTCTCCCTCTATCTCTCCCTCCCCCTCTCCCCCTCTCTCTCATATACACACTCATACACACAAGCACACACAAAACGTATCTTTTAACAGGGTTTTTATTCTCCGACCCGAAAAAAAAGACATTAAAAAAATTGTTGCTATCCGTGGCCTTCGCTTGAATTTTGAAACCAGGTAATTGTTACCCATCCATCTGGTGTTCTTTCTGATATTATCACGCCGTAAGTGTAGCCGCGCTAAACTGATTGATAACTTTATTTCTTTTCTTCATTCTCGCCTTCTATCGGATTTACTGAACACAACCGGGCATCATGACGCTCGCGACTCTCCTTCCCACCAGCCGTGAAAAAAAGAATCAACCAAATAACAATGAACATATTAATTAGGGAGGAACAGATGATGCAACAATGAGTTGGATCGCACAGTTCAGTCACCTCTTTTGTTTCCCCTTCTCCATTTGAACAGGGATCAATTTGAGCGGTGAATTGATTCAGTGATATTAGGATTTTTGCCTGTTGATTGCCTTCCGGAAGGTCAAGTTTCATTAAGTTACAATTGTTTCCATTCTTGGTTCAAGAAGGGATTTTTATTTTTATTTATTCATATATTTGTTTTGCTTAACTGGCTGTCAAAACTCTCTTTGAGTCACTCTCAGAATATTTGTCAATCTTATTTCATTATCTATCTATCTATCGATCTATCTCAGTCTTTTTTCATTATCTATCTATCTATCTATCTATCTATTTTCATTATCTATCTCAGTCATTTTTCATTATCCGCCTGTCTCTATCAAGCTAGCAGGCTATCTATCTATCTATCTATCTATCTATCTGAATCTATCTGAAATTGTGCATATCTATCTATCACAGTCTGTTCGTATATATCTGTCTGTCTACCTGAAATTGTTCATATCTATCTATCTATCTATCTATCTATCTATCTATCTATCTATCTATCTACACATACACACACACACACACATATATATATATATATATGTATATATCCATCTCAGTCTTTTTTATTATCTATGTCATTCTTTTTGTATTATCTATCTATCTATCTATCTATCTATCTATCTATCTATCTATCTATCTATCTATCTATCTATCTATCTATCTAAATATATATATATATGTATGTATATATCCATCCCTAATCATCTATCTAGCTATTACAATCTTTTTTCATTATCTATCTATCTATCTATCTATCTATCTATCTATCTATCTATCTATTTCAGTCTTTCATTATCTATCTATCTCAGTCTTTCATAATTATCTATCTATCTTGCTATCTATATCAGTCTTTTTTCTTTATCTTTCTAGGATTTGATATAGAAAAGTGATATAGTGAATTAATATGATTGTATTTATTTATTTAAGGATTAAAAATCTCGAATGATCAGTGAATTTGAAATTTTCTCCGGTTGGACACTGAACTATCACCAATCACGATGAATGGATTCTCCCTCAGGGAGGCTCCGTCCCTTGGCCACCTACTGGGCCTTGAAATCAACCCACACCTCAAATGAAACTCATACATACGATCCATCGCTAAAGATGCTAGGAAAATGATCAGTTCCAAGTACCGCTCCAGCAAGTACATGACTCCTCCTCCTCCTATCCTCTATCTTTTCAAGAGCCAGATCAGGCAGGAGCTGCTCAGTCTTCCCTTTCCAGTCTCAATAGAATCCAAAAGTGTCTCCGCGTCCTTGTGGATGATGAATTTTTTCCACCCTACAACTCCTTTCTCACGGACGAGACGTCGCAAGCTTCTTGTTGCTCGATCGCTACTTCCATGGAAAGTGCTCAGACGAGCTATATTCCTAAGTTCCACCACTTGTAACCTTCACGGCTAAGACTCTCCATGTCACGCACACTGAGGCGAACCACCCTCATTCCCTTCGTATTTTATTTGTGAGATGTAAGTTCCACTCGAGTAGCTTCTATCTGCATAAACTGCCTCTTATTCTGTAACCGTCTACCTTGAGTACCCCCCCCCGACGATCCTTGCACAGGGTGAACCTCACTGTTAAAAACTATTTCCTTCATCTGCTATATTACATAATAGTATAGCACTCTTTTCTTCATTTCTAACAAAAAATGACTATAAAAGTAGGGTACGTATTGAGAACCGGACATATATCCTTAGCGCTGCATTTGCATTACTTTCTGTCAGTCTAATAAAACAGCTCTTATATAGATGAATCGGCCATAGTCAGGATCTTCGTATCAAGGCAAACAATCCTTTCTTCAGCTGTATAGTATCTACCTCGTCAAGGCTACGTACAGTTTTGAATTCTGAGTTTTCCTTCTCCTAGACAGGTTTCCACCAAAGGCTATATAACCCAGTCAGTTCTTCAGTATCTGTCTATATTTCTGAGATGAGGTATAATGTACACTATTTACATTATTCCTCAAGGACACATAGCACAGTGGATAAAGGCGTTAGATCCAGTGACAAGACCCAAAGAGTGTGAGTTCAGTACCTGGTTAAGGCGGCGGAGAACTTGGAGAGGTAAATTAACAGGAGATAACTGACATCCATTACATATGGCACGTGGAACTAGAACAATCTACCCCGAAATAAAGTGTTCTGTTCGGCATTCCAACCACCTGAAGAAGGCCGGAGCATACATCGGCCGAAACGTTGTAATAAATATGGCGACAAAGATGAGGACAATTGTCCGAATAATGTAAATAGTGTACCAGTCAGTCCTGCTATTTATCCATAGCTGGTGAGAGCAAAGGTGGATTCATACCTTTTCTTTTTCAGGTCTTTTTTCACAGCTCTTTAGCTTGTCATCGTCAAAACTCCTCCCTCCTTGCCAAACGTCATATGAACTGAATTGGATCTTTTCTAATTGATCTCTTTTGATCTATGTTGAAATGCGGATCCTTTTTCTTGTTGTGACCTACCGATCCAGTTTTCCTCTCACTGTTCCCTCTTTTTGAAAGTCATTCACCGTTCTCTTTTTGGTTCTTGAATGGACTTTGAAGATAGAAGCCAGAGTATAAATGTTAGTACCATTATTGAAGGCCTGAATGATCTTTTTTCCTCTCACCATTGCTCAGTTGGGAAGGCAGGGAATCTGGGACAAAACGATTTTAACCCGTTCCCTTTCTAGCTGCATAACTCAAAGGGTCTTTCAATGATTCTTACGACAAATGATATCAACATGGTTAAACGTCTTATCTGAAAACCTGTAAAAAAGAAAAAAAAGAAATTCAGTTAGTTTAGTAGTATTTTAGATATTAAACATTTTGTGGGTTGGATAAATATGTTGCTACACGAGTTCGATTTAGACAATTTTATGTTACACCCTGTATACAGCCACGAATTAAATTCATGAACAAAATTCAAACGGATAGAGATGTCAACTTAATAATCAATAATAAAAATGTTTAAAGAGATTAAAAAAAAAAAGATTACTAGAAGTAAACTTATATTTTAAAATAAAATTTTATTCTTTTAATATACTTTCTATGAATATTTTTCTAATCGACTATTTCATAGAAAATCCCCAAAATTTAAAAAAAAAATTAAATCACTAACAAACATCAAATTAAATTATTTGTAGACAGTTTAGAGGCATTCAAATTTATATCAAACAAGATAATCTTTATGAACCCCCAAAATAACACTTTCAAAGTAAAAGAAAATAACAGCGTCTGTTTCTAGGGGGTTTTTTTACAAAGAAAATTAGTGACACCTTCTCTCATGACTTCTTTCTCTCTTTTTCTCTCTATGGGTTTTTTTCTTCTCTACCCCATC